CTTGTATTATGAACCATGAAAGTTTATTTTTATTTTTTAAAATTCTTTATTTTTCGACAGCAGGGCAAACCGTAATGGTCATACAGTTATACAATGTCATGGTACATAAAAGCAATGCACATTTTTATATTTTAGTCTCGCTCTTACAACGTAGTTACATAGCTGCCCTCAGGGCCGGACTGGCCTACCGGGAAATTTCCCGGTGGGCCGTCGGCACCTGGGGCCGGGCAGGCAGCTGGCTCACCTGCGGCCGCAGAGGGAGCTCTGATGGTGGCCGCATGGGGGAGCTGGCTGTTCTGGCGGCCACAGGGGGAGCTGGCTGTTCAGTCTCTGCTCCCCCTCCCCAGCGCACTACAAAGAGACCGGGGCCAGAATATGACTTCATACTCCGGCCCCGGTCTCATTAAGCGGCGTGCTGGGGAGGCGGAGCAGAGACAGAACAGCCAGCTACCCCTGTGGCCGCCAGAACAGCCAGCTCCCCCTGCAGCCACCATCAGAGCTCCCTACAGGTAGAAATTGTGTGTCAGTGTGAGTGTATGTGTGTGTGTGTGTCTCTGTCTGTGTCATGGTGTGTGTGTGTCTCTGTCTGTGTCATGGTTTGTGTGTGTCTGTCTGTGTCATGCAATGTGTGTCTTTGTCATGGTGTGTGTGTGTGTCATGTAATGTGTGTCTGTCTGTGTCACGGTCTGTCTGTGTCATGGTGTGTGTGTGTTTGTCATGGTGTGTGTGTGTCTGTATGTCATGGTGTGTGTGTGTCTGTCTGTGTCATGGTCTCTCTGGGTCGTGGTGTGTGTGTGTCTGTGTGTCATGGTGTGTCTGTGTTATGGTGTGTGTGTGTGTCAAGGTGTGTGTGTCTTTTTTAAGGTGTGTGTCTGTCATGGTGTGTGTCTGTCATGGTATGTGTGTGTCTCTGTCATGGTGTGTGTGTGTGTGTCTGTGTCATGGTGTGTCTGTCTGTCATGGTGTGTCTGTTTCTGTCTGTGTCATGGTGTGTGTTTCTGTCTGTGTCACGGTGTGTGTCTCTGTCACGGTCTGTCTGTGTCATGGTGTGTGTCTGTCATGGTATGTGTGTGTGTATGTATGTTTTTACTCACCTTTTTTTCCCCCCCACGTCGTGCTGGTCTCCCTTCGACTGGCCCTGCCTCTACGGCTGAGATCATCAAGCTTGATGATCTCAGCTAATGCGCACTTACACAGGAAGCACCTCTAGTGACCGTCTGAGTGTCTGTCACTAGGAAGCAATGTAAACACTGCCTTTTCTCTAAAAAGTCAGTGTTTACATTGAAAAGCCTGCAGGGACAGGCTATAGACACCAGAGCCACTACATTAAGCTGTGTGTGTGTGTGCGCGCCTGCTAGTGAGTGGGCTTGTGTTTTTATGTCAGTGACCTTATGTATATCAGTGAGATTGTTTGTCTATGAGGCTGTGTATCAATCAGCTTGTGTCAGTGAGATTGTCTGTGTCTGCATGTGAGTATTCTTACTGTATAATTAAAAATTTTACTCTGAAAGGACCAATATTTTATATTGGAAAAAGCATATATATATATATATATATATATATATATCATCTAGGGTGGCAAGACATAGCCTTACATATTACATGCGACAATATATGGCGCAATGACTTATGGGGCTGGCATAGATTTTTTTTCCAGGGCTGCTTTGGAATCCCCAGTCCAGCCCTGGCTGCCCTGCACAGTGCTAGTGATACTAATTATTAACAAGAGAGACTGTAAGCAGGGGGTGAGTGGTTGCTCAGGCTAGTATTTTTGAACAAGCTCAGTCTAATTGATTAGGTTCATTTGAGTGTTTCAGTATACGTGTGTGGCATGAGTGTGTTACAGGGTTGTAGCATGTGTTATACAGGTTAGGTACAAGCTGTGGAATAGCAACCTGCTCGGCTGTCTTATAATGTAGGTAAGATTACAACACAGTTAATATAGTCTGGTGTAGTATGATAGCGTTTATTACTTTATGGTGTGTGTTGTGGGGAAAACACTTGAAGTGAGCCGTGGCAGTGTCACAAGCTAGGTTGTCTGATTATGTAGATTAGCAGGTTTACGCATGCAATCAGTGAGTATGCATTGTAAAGTTTAAGACATATTGAGTGTCCTCATAATGTATACCCCGCAATGCTCTGTGTGTGGTAGACCCAGTCAGTCCCTGTGGGGTCAGCCGATGCCTGCGCTGGAGGTTGCAGATATTGATGCACCGGATACCTCGTTGGTCTGGATCAGCTGCCCACAAGGTGACTCCTGGCGGCTAGAGCAGAGGCGGCAGATGGCTGGGTAAGGAGCTGAAAGTGTTCTTCAAGTTAGGTATTAGTCCCAGGGTGAGTCTTCGACATTGTTGTGGCTGTCTCTGTTAGTCCCAGGTTGTAGCTAGGAAGGGACCGGAGCTGGATGCCGCCGCGGTTACTGCCACTGACCTATCCTGCCATTTGCTCAGTTGTTGGCTTTCCTGGTGTGTAAGGCCGCGTTGCTTGTGGGGTTCTTCGTGTTGTAGACCGCCGTCATCTTAAGTAAGCGGGGTGTTGTTGCTTCCACCCGTCGGTGGCCGTCCCACAGGGCCTGTACTTGCATGCCGTGGTGGACCGCGATGACCCCCGACGGTCCGGGGGCGGAGGTTCTGCATCTGCAGGACTTCGGGGCTGGAGGACCAGCTGCGTCCCCAGCCCCGCATCAACTGTTGGCTGCAGGTCGGACCTGCCTCGGCTGGTGCCTCCGGAGTGCTAATATTGCCCCAGTCCTGTTCCCACCAGGGGCTCCGTGGGGTGAGTGGGTGTGGAGCCTGTTTAGCCTGGCTAGGTTGCGGCAAAGAAGGCTTAAATTCAGCCCTTTGGCGAGAGCCCTGGGTGCTTGCGGCCACTCCGAATGGCGGTCAAGCTCCGCCCCTATGAAAGTTTATTTTTATCCAATTTGAACATGCCATAAACTTGAAAAGGGAAAATGTATTTTTCATTTGTGTTTTATAAAGTTGGGTGAGCCATAAAAGGACAAAAATCCACATTTGATTTTGATGTGTGTGTGGACTCCACTAAGTCCTTTGAGGAATGTTTTGCAATGCATGATGGGGCAGATTATGCATGATGTCTCCCCCCCAATATATACATAATTTATAATCTGTATATTGCATGGTCATTTGGCTAGTATAACGTATTCATAAAAAAAAATCTAAATCAAACAAAAATGATAATTTCTACATAATTTCTTTAACTAAAACTAGATTTTTTAGTAAGATATTTTAAAGGGGTACTATAAACATCATAACCTCTACAGTCCATTGTTTTGCCCACATTTGGATGTGATTGATTGGCTGAGTGTCTCATTTGACATGGATAGTCAGCTTTGTTGTCACCTTAGGCTACAGTGGTTGTGGTGCTTAGAGCATCTCTTTAAGTTTGCTTTAGGGCAGTCGCTTACAATAACGTCCTTTGATCCATTTGAACAATTTTTTTTATCATGTTATAAAAAGACACTTGTAGTCATCCACGACTGGGCTTCATGATGAATAATACAATATAAAAGTTAACCTTCTTTTTTTGAGTCACTTCGAATAGATCTGGAATATCAGGCATCATGAGACTGGCCTACATATAGTTTACTAAACTCTCTGTTACAAAGTCTGTTTAAATTGCTTTTCTATTCTTCTAATATTGCCATTTGAATAATTTCACAAAAAACAAACAAACAAAAAAAACTATTAAAAATTCTTTATTATGTGCTGTTTTGGCGTTTAGTGTAAGAGCATTGTGCTCCCATGTGACCAGCAAGGAGTTAACGTAAAATCCAATTCCTTGGATTCACATCCCAAAACAAATCTTTACAATTTGAAGCACAAAGAGCTGTTTTGGTGCCAGGAATAATAAGTAGTGTTTTAGGATTTAAAAATTAGTTTTGAAAAAAAAGCTCGGTAACCAATTCTGACAAAAACATTACAGCAAACTGCAAAGAGAGAATCATAGCCAGCACCGTGTCAAGAATACAGAAAACACCAAACAGAAAAAGAGTGATAAATTTTTTTTTTTTTGTTTAAATTGCTTTTTTGTTCTTTACTATCATGTTAAGTAGTAAACAAAATCCTATGATGTTATTTTAATAAAGGGACACTATAGTCACCCAGACCATTTCAGCTCAATGAAGTGGTCTGGGTGCCAGGTCCCTCAGGTTTTAACCCTTCAGATGCAAACATAGCAGTTTCAGAGAAACTGCTATGTTTACATATGGGGTTAAGCCTACCTCTAGTGGCTGTCTTCCGGACACCCACTAGAGGCGCATCTGCGACGCTGGAGGCATATTATGCTTCCATCGCGCAGAGCGTCCATAGGAAAGCATTGAGAAATGTTTTCCTATGGACACTTTGAATCCGCGTGCGGCACTTGCATATACATATATCTCTGCAACCCCATTTTTCCAATTGCTCTGAAGTCTCTTGTTCTATCACCTGGCAAAAATGCCTGATTATGTCATGTGGGAGTCAAGGAGAGAATGAGAGTCTATCTAGTTTGTGAAGCGTCCTATATCTATATTCAAGAGATTCTAAGAAAAGCCTGATTACTCTTTGGGATTCAAATGTAAAGCTAGGGCAGAGGAACCCCTATTAATAGGTAGTCCAGACCCAACCATTATCTCCTGTCTGGGGAGGAATGCCATGTTATCCTCTTGTGTTTGTGAGTGTGGATGTTAAATAGTTTTTACATATATATATATTAATTAATTATTAAATTAGAGTACTACACTGTGATCACTTTTCCCATTTATTTTATACATCCATTTTAAAGTGATATCCTCATACTAAAGTGGTAATTTTACCATTTATTAACACTGGTCTTGTGATGTCCTTTACAGCATGTTGGATTTTGTATGTGCATTTGTTTCCATGGATATCATGATGATTTGTAATATTTTTCCCTTCCCCAGGTGTTATCTGGGTTCAATGGATTTACTGGGACTCATGAATAACCAGCTCTGCTCGGAATAGAGAAAAATAGATAGTAGGAGTGGAAAACACTTTGAAAGAAGAAAATGGAATTTATTCACTAAATTGTGAATGACAGTTAAATGACAACCATACGCTCAAATAACTTTTTTTTTACTTTTGCAATTTTCTTAACTTACTACAAATTTTTGAATATACTATTCTGAGGAATAGTGATAAGGGGAATATAATGTGCGAATGACAGTATGGGGTGGAAAAAGAGAAGAAACAGGTTCAGGATAATAACTGAATAAAAAATAATACTAGTTTGGGAACAATTAATAGTAGATAAACTAATAAATACATTGTATCTCAAAAGGTGTAAAAGGAAAAGAGATTATAATGTTTACTTTTAGATTCATTCAAAATGCAAAGAATCATTTTACATCCTTAGCAGTCAAATCATAATAGGTGATGTCATGCTGTGATGTCATAAACGTAACTACTGCTGTAACTGCTTGAACATTTAATTTCTTCCCAGTTATAATAGAGGCTCTGACAGAGCTTCACATGTATTGATGGTTCTCGTATCATCTCAATGTTATAGGGATCTATGCCTCACTTGGATGTGTCTGAAGACTTGGAGCTTGACTACCCTCGATCTGATCTCAGCAATGGAGGTTCTAGCAGGGCGCATTATATTCTGTGCAGCTACTCGTATACCCATTATCAAAAGTTGGTGCTTCTTCTAAGGGGATTTTAAGCATTGCCCGTGCTCCGTTGAGTGGATGGCAAATAGGGAAGGGAGGAAATTGCATAGTGTACAGCTTTTTCCAGGTATCAGTATCATCTATCAATATCTATTTCATCTGATTTCCTAATCTGTATGTCTGTCTGTCTTTCTCTCTATGTCTGTCTATTTGTGTCTATGTCTATCTCTCTGCCAAGATAAATAGTTTATAAAAGAGTAAGTCCTGCATCTATTGAATTCTCTGTATTTGCCTCTTAATGCCCAGAGGGAAGGGCAGTCCCTCAAGCCATGGTTCCCCAGAGGTTTCCTCCACATGAGGTTTTTCCTCTCCTGAGTGCTGAAGGATGACTCTCCGTGAGTCCAGAGGTTGCCCAAATCTTGGCTGTTTCCTAGTCAAATTTGGATTAATATCCAAGATTGCAAGATATATTTTTGCCCCTACGTTCCCAATTTCCCCATTAGAGACTGCAATATTATGTTAATACTATTTAATATACTTAATAAATGTAACATTCATTTAGATTTGTGTCTCGTGTTGATTTGTATAAAATTATGCTATTATTTATAAAATGAGTAACTGCTAAATGAATTGATTTGATCTGGAGGAGTGGAATGGCCTCTGGTAGGAGTAGAGAGCAGCCTTTTTGAATTTTTGGCATGGCATTTTAATTAATGTGGGAGAGTATATGTGATTATATATTGATGCTGTACAAAAATGAGTAAGGCTATACTTTTAGACTCTCAACGATTTAATTATCATGGTTCTCTCATGATTTATTTAATGTAAGAAATTTAGAAAAAAATTGGAAAGGTATATGATGTTTCCAATAAATCCAATTTAGTTAGATTGTAACTGTTAATGCATTTTATAGAGGACAGAAAACACTGGTTAGAAGGTATACAGTTAAAGGTAAGTTAATAATTGGGCTGAGGAGTGAGAAACAGGTGAACTGGAAGTAGAAACAAACTAAATTTATCAAAGGGGTACAATAGGTACTCCTGGAATAATATTGTCTAAACAGAATGTGACCTGATCCCCATTTCAAGGCATAAAAATAGGGGATATCCTGTCAGGGAAGAAATGGCACAACATGCAAAGTTAGTATAAGTAGATGTAGTTGTCACCATAAGGTCAAAAAGGTAAGTCCCATGCGTTTCATCCCATCCAGGGACTTCTTCAGGGACAAATCAATGTTGTTCAAACAAAATACAAAGTGCATATGAACCATTTCCCTTCCCCAGTTCTTAAATACCCATTTCCCAGCTTCTAAGTTTCTTCTGCTAGATCCTCCGGTCTTGTCATCTGTTCTCAGTGAAGTCTGATTTTACTTCCTGGTTCCACCTTCTCTGACGTCACCACGCCCCTGCGCGGTGGCCTCCTCTGTTCCACACGTGCATTCCACTGTGGTTGATTCGCTCATCTACAGATTTTGGTATCTTTCATTTGGATGATGTCATCGCGTTATGTTGAACTGATGGATGCATTCCATCTGTGTTCCAATCTGGTTTTTCAGCTCCTTGGGCAGTTCATATAAATAAATCCATTATGGGAAGTACCACAATGAAAAAGATGGTGGGGGTTTCGGGGGGAGGGAAATATTTGGGAATATTCCCATCACACTTATAGGTTTAAAGGGAGAACTAATGGAGGAAGATATTCCCCCATTACAGAAACCAACAGGCGAAACCAAAGAAAATCATCATTATCTAAAGAGAACACCTCCCCCACTCCATATGTGCACTCGGACTATGCACCGAATCCAGGGGCGTTTTAGCCGCGAGGCAAACAAGGCATTTGCTTTGGGCTGCATTTTCCGGGGGCGGCAAGAAACGCCGCCCCCCAAATGCCCAGGGCAAATGCCTAGTTAGCCTTGCGGCTAACAGACATGCCGGGCGCTGGGCGGCGCTTGCTGATGGTCGGGCGGGCGGCTGGCGAGGGAGCTCTTCCCCGAGCGGTCTGCTCAGCTCCCTCGCGTGCCGCATAGTGAGGCTGGGAGCCGGAATATGATGTCATCAACCCGGCTCCCAGCCTCACTCTGCGGCGCGCGAGGGAGCTGAGCAGTCAGCTCAGAGGAAGTGCTCCATCGCCAGCCGCCCGCCCGACCATCAGCCACTGGACCACCAGGGAGAGAGGGACCCCCCGCCCAGCATTTCCAAAGGTAAGGAGGTTGGGGGGGTTAAATAAAAAAAAAAATGTGTTAATGTGAGTGAGTGTGTGTATATGTCTGTGAGTGTGTCTGTTAATGTGTGTGTGTTTGTTAGTGTGTGTGTGTCTGCTAATGAGTGTGTGTCTGTTATTGTGTGTCTGACTGTGTGTGTCTGCTAGTGTGTGTTTCTGCTAATGAGTGAGTGTGTGTCTGTTAGTGTGTGTCTGACTGTGTGTGTCTGTGTGTGTCTGACTGTGTGTCAGTGAGTGTGTGTGTCTGCTAGTGAGTGTGTGTGTGTGTGTGTCTGTTAGTGTGTGTATCTGACTATGTGTGTGTCTGTAAGTGTGAGTGTGTTTGCCTGTGAGTGTGTGTGTCAGTGAGTGTGTGTCTGTTAATGTGTGTGTGTTTGTTAGTGTGTGTGTCTGACTGTGTGAGTGTGAGTGTGTGTGTGTGTCTGCTAGTGTGTGTCTGCTAGTGAGTGAGCGTGTGTCTGTTAGTGTGTGTGTCTGACTGTGTTTGTCTGTTAGTGTGTATGTGTGTGTCTGACTGTGTGTCAGTGAGTGTGTCTGCTAGTGAGTGTGTGTTTGCCTGTGAGTGAGTGTGTCTGTTAGTGTGTGTGTGTGTGTCTGTTAGTGTGTGTGTCTGACTGTGTGTGTCTGTTAGTGTGAGTGTGTGTGTCAGTGAGTGTGTGTCTGTTAATGTGTGTGTGTTTGTTAGTGTGAGTGTGTTTGCCTGTGAGTGTGTGTGTCAGTGAGTGTGTGTGTGTGTCTGTTAGTGAGTGTGGGTGTGTCTGTTAGTGTGTGTGTGTGTTTCTGTTAGCGAGTATATGCGTATCTGTCAGTGAATGTGTGTGTGTGTATTTAGAAGGCATGGGGGGGGCTGTCATGGAAGGGGGGGGGCTGGCGCGGGGGGGGGCGTCTGAGTTTTGTCCTGCTTAGGGCAGCACAAAACCAGGATACACCTGTGACCGAATCGCAAAACATATGCCGTAGCAGCAAGCTCTGACCAAGAGAACCCTCAAGAACGAGAGGAACGTTTTTTAGAGAGGGAGCGAAACCAAAAAGAAGGGCAAATAACACAGTTTTTCCAACCCCGCAGCAATCAGTGGGGGAACAGGTTTACCCCATTGGAAGAAATTCCAGATATCCCTCCCCACCCCTCGTCCACCCCCCCTGAAAAGAAAGAGATTAGAGGAGAGCTCATGGAGGGAAGAGAATCAGAGAAAGAAGAATTAGAGAAATCAATGGGAATTTAGAATTTGGCCAAAATCCAATTAACCATAGATAACATAAAAGCCCTAAAGAAAGGGCTAAATTGTGAATGACAGTTAAATGACAACCGTACGCTCAAATAACTTTTTTCACTTTTGCAATTTTCTTAACCTACTACTAATTTTTCAATATACCATACTGAGGAATAGTGATAAGGGAAATATAATGTGCGAATGACAGTATGGGGTGGAAAAAGAGAAGAAACAGGTTCAGGATAATAACTGAATAAAAGAATAATACTAGTTTGGGAACAATTAATAGTAGATAAACTAATAAATACATTGTATCTCAAAAGGTGTAAAAGGAAAAGAGATTATAATGTTTACTTTTAGATTCATTCACAATTTATGCTGATTGCAAAGACTCCTTTTACATTTTTATCACTTTCCCTTTTAAAATTAATACAAATAATCACTGCTTCATGAACTGTAATCCTTAGCAGTCAAATCATAATAGTTGATGTCATGCTGTGATGTCATAAACGTAACTACTGCTGTAACTGCTTGAACATTTTATTTCTTCCCAGTTATAATAGAGGCTCTGACAGAGCTTCACATGTATTGATGGTTCTAGTACCATCTCAATGGTATAGGGATCTATGCCTCACTTGGATGTGTCTGAAGACTTGGAGCTTGACTACCCTCGATCTGATCTCAGCAATGGAGGTTCTAGCAGGGGGCTTTATATTCTGTTCAGCTACTCGTGTAACCATTATCAAAAGTTGGTGCTTCTTCTAAGGGGATTTTAAGCATTGCCCGTGCTGCATTGAGTGGATGGCAAATAGGGAAGGGAGGAATTTGCATAGTGTACAGCTTTATTCCTGGTATCAGTATAATTTATCAATCTCTATTTCATCTGATTTCCTAATCTGTATGTCTGTCTGTCTGTCTTTCTCTTTATGTCTGTCTTTCTCTCTATGTCTGTCTATTTGTGTCTATGTCTATCTCTCTGCCAAGTTAAATAGTTTATAAAAGAGTAAGTCCAGCATCTATTAGGGATGTGCATGGGCCAAAAATTTGGTTCGGGTCGGCATTCCGAAATTCGGCAATTTGGGACTTCGGCAATTCGGTTCGGCACTTCCGAAATTCGCCACTTTGGATATTCGGACATTCGGAAGCATCCGAATGTCC